GAGGTCTCAGTAGTCCTCATTGTCCGCTATGTTCAGCGAGACCAGTTTTGACCCAGGCTTTTTCAGACCCAGGCCAGCTGGCCTTGGTGAGTTCCCGATCCCCATTGTCTCAGTGTATGGGTGCACCCCTCCCAGTCCTAAGTTCCTTGCTTGTGCTCTCTCTCCTTCTGCTCCTGATTTGGACCTTGAGATTTCAGTCCGGTGCTCCAATGTGGTTCTCTGTCTCTGTCTCCTTTCATCGCCTGATGAAGTTTAATATTCAGGAGAAATATTCAGGATTTTCTTTGGGTTCTCCTTCTTATTTAGCTTCTCTAAGAACCCAACTTATAGGTTCAATGTCCTTTATTTATGGCTAGAAACCAAATATGAGTGAGAACATTCCATGTTCCTCTTTTTGGGTCTGGCTTACCTCACTCAGGATGGTGTTTTCTATTTCCATCCATTTGCCTGCAAACTTCAAGAAGTCCTTGTTTTTTACTGCTGAGTAGTACTCTGAGGGCTAATAGTTCTTGATTGTAGAGATTGTTCTGTATATTATAAGAACGCCATGTTTAGCATCATCCTTGGTCTTTCTCTACTACACACCATTCCCCCTCCTACACTTGTGACAACAAAATGTTTCTATAGGCAACATGAAAGATGCCCTCAGAGACAAAATTCCCCCCAGTAGGGAAATTCTCTTCTTAAAATAGACAAGTCCTTGAGAAAAAGAAAGCGAGGGGGAGAGATGGGAAAGAAAGAGAGGAGAAAAAGAAGGGATTAATGCTAGAATAGTACTTTTATTTACTAGTTGACCATTATATTTGATTATATTTGAAGTAAGTGTAATCTCTCTCTGGGCAGATTGGAATACTGAGGTTCAGAGAAGTTAAATAACTTTACTTATGATGACTAGGTAACAAATGTTACACCTGAGATTTGAATGCAGGCATGTTAGATCCCTAAAATTTAGGTTCTTTGTTAATCATCAGTAAAAAGCAAATAAAGATTAATACATACTCACACATTGCAAAACCATGTTTAAATCATGCTGTCATATTCATACTGTTCTATCAGCTATTTTAAAATATTTACTAAATCTTTCAATCTCATTTCCCATGAATCTCCATCATGTTTTAATAGTTACATAATATTTGTCTCTAGATGAATCATAATTTACGTGACCATATTCATGTTGTATGATTTTTAGAATTTCATTTAAGGAATGTTGCATGAAAGTTATCAGCATATAATTATGTGTTTTTGCTCCATGAGAGTCCTAGAAGTGGTGATAATCAAAGGAACATTTAAAGTCGCTGCTTTAATGAAACCAAATATAGCTAAAAACAAATCACTATCTCAACAGAGCTTATAAAAGATGGCATTCATCCATTTATTTACTAGTTCAATGGAATATATTAGTCTAATGGAAAATGTGATGTATTGTTCTTTTAAAATGCATTTTATGATTGGCAGTGAAGCTGTTGCATTTTCATGTTTCTGAGCTATTTATTTTTCTACCTTTTCATATGTTCCTTTAAACTTTTCTTCATTTTTTCTGTTTTAGAAGCTTGCTTAGTTCTTATTATTTGATATTAGCTCATTGACTATTATGTGTATTGTATTTTTCTATAGTGTACCTTAAAATGTATTACTAGTATCTTTTTTCTAGATTGATTATTTTTTATTATAGCTACTATTTATATTTTTCTTAGGAAAGCATAATTGGACTAGTTTTCAGGTTTATAATAGAGGCTTATAAAAATATGCAATTTTGGCTGTTATATTTGCTAAACTTAAAATTATCTCTCTCATAAGACACAAAATAACTTTGAAGGAAATATGTTATCTAATTTATAATATAAGATATGGATTAATATTCTGATTTTCACAACACAGTGTTAGGACTTTTCAATTATTTCATTATCATGGCTGACCTTTCTGTACTGAGTTGTCTTTCTGAAAAAAAAATCTAATTATTTATGTAGTTTGTAAGACTTTATTTGGACTTTCTATATTCGTTGATCCATTTTAACACGGATGTCAATGCCACACTGTCTTGATTATCACAAGTTTGTATAATAAGGCTTGAAATCAGGTAATAGCAGACCTCCAACTCTATTTTTCTTTTAAGATTTTTTTTTGGTTAAGTTCTTTGAATTTTCTTATAAATTTTGAATGAGTTTATTAATTCTATCAAAAATCTTATTGGGGTTGTGTTCAATTTGAAGTACTTTGAAAGTTTTGGTAACGGGGGAAACTGTGTCCTCTCTGGTATTTTTCATGGTCATTTTTATTACCTTGCCTAAGAAAGGCCCTGCTGTGCTCTGCTTAGACTCCCCTTTCTACACTGCTGTCTGCATAGATCTCTGTAATTTGCAAGTGTGATAATGATCAAAAGCCTTGCCTTGTTTGTTTTCATCATCTCCAGGAAACCACTAACTGTCATAACTACTTTCTCAATGGCTCAGAAACCACTGGTGCATGTGTTTCTTCTGTTTCGTTTTGTCCTTTTTATTTTCTTGTGTCAGACTGCAAGAAAATAAGGTCCTATGGCAATATCTTATAAAGAAGTAGTTGAAATGATGTCTTCCGGAAGGGGGTGCATTTTCCTTGTGTGTCTTATTTATAATGTGCTTGATTTTTGAGTCACCAGGTCAAGGCATTCTCATGGATCTCAGAAAGAGTGGGGAATATAATAGACTTGCCTTTATAAAGCTTAAAATCTAGTACAGCCATAATTGAAATCAGTGTGGAGGTTTCAAAAGAAAGACAGGTGGGAGGGAGGGAGCAAGGGGGAGAGAGAAGTTATCTTAGTTAGGGTTACTATTGCTGTAATGAAACACCATGACCTAAAGCAACTTATGAAAGGGTCCATGTAACAGTTCATCCTCAAAAGGAATGAGAACAGGAACTCAAGCAGGGCAGGAACCTGGAGAGAGGAGCTGATGCAGAGACCATGGAAGAGTGCTGCTTACTGGCTTGTTAACAACTACATGGCTTGGTCAACCTGTTTTCTAATAAAACCCAGGATCACCAGCCTAGGGATGTCACCACCCACAATTAGTTGGTCTCTCCACCATCAATCACTTAATAAGAAAATGCTCCACAGGCCTACCCGAACCTTCATCTATGAAGATACCTTCTCAGTAGATGTTCCTTTCTCTCAGATGATAAGGCTTTTATCAAATTGACATAAAACTAGCTAACACAAAAGCTAACAATAAAATTACTATATGACTCAGCAGTGTAATTGCTAAGCATTTGCCCAAAGGTCTCTACACCCTACCGTAGAGATACTTGCACACTCTTGTTTACTGCTGTTCTGTACCCAATGGCAAGGAGATGGAACCAGCCTAGATGCCCAGCAACAGATGAATGAAGAATGAAAATGTGGTACACATATACAATGGATTATATTCAACCATAAATAAAAATGAAACCTGAAGGAAAATAGATGGGATTAAAAAATATATTGAGGCAACCCAGATTCAGAAAGGGAAACACTACTATTCTTTCTCATATAGAGATCCTAGCAAGTTTTTAAAGATGTGCATTTAGATGGAAGTGACTTTGTGTAGATGCCAGGAAACTGGGAAGGGGCCCGTGAGAGAAGACAAAACAGGCTTCAGGGGAGAAGAGCAGGGAGGGTAATAGAACATGTGTGGTCTGGACGTGATAAGAGGAATACTGGGTGTGGAAATGTTTAAGCAGACATTGGTGGGGCTGCAGAGAGAAAATGGAGAGGAGAAGGGAAGAGTTAACAACAACAATGGTAATAACAATAATAAAACTAGTTGGGAGACAGGAAATAAACTATGTGAAAATATGTTTATTTAAATGTATGTATTTGTGTGTATATGTTTAAAAAATGATAAATGTCAAAATAACAAAACATAAAAATTCAGGGAAGAAAGAAATAGGAAGTGTTGGATAGAGGGAGGTATGTCAAAGTTTAGATGCATTGAATTGGAAGGCCTTTATAAGAAGGGCAAGCAAAACAGAGCAAGCAAGCCACATGGATAGTTGGAGAGAGAAATGAGTTCTCTGCGTATAATGAGCAATCGATACAAAGGTTCTGGCATGTATAAAGCATAGGAAGGGGTATTTGTAACTATTACAGTAATGGAGTAGGAGTTCCCAAAATGCTAGCTAGCTATTTCAGTTCTTTGATAGGAGGAGAACCCACTGTGTCCTAGAATCATGCAGCTCAATACTCATCTGCTTACCACTGTTTCGTCATCTCTTACTGTCACCCATGAAATCCATGTTGGCATGTGATTGTATGTACAATGTTCCTGTTAATTTTGCCACTTTTACACAGGCATTTCACATGTTAGAAATTCTAATCACAGCTATTCTTGTACTCCTCAAGAATCACACACACACACACACACACACACACACAATCCAAGGCACTTTTGATATTCTTCTCAATTTTATTCTCCTTCTATTTTTAAATAATTAACATGCCATATTATGAAAATTTCTGTAGGTGAACAAAATAATATGAGAGAAAACCATTTTTCTTCTTTTTCTTCCTCAGTATTGAGACAACCTGCATATCTAGATCCTTAAGTATCCTTTTTGAAATATTGAGTGCATACATGTATATGTACGCAGGAATGTGTTTAGTAACCCTTTGCCCTCACCTCCACCCATACAAAGCAGCTCGACAGGCCTGTTGGGTAGTTGCTGCTATCCTCTTATTCCAATTGAGAGAGGATGCTGAGACTCAAAGGTAGATGTCTTACCTAAAGTCTCACTGGTAGTAAGTATAAAGTCCAGGGTTGCTTCACTACTTATATTGACATTCTTTCTCCACACAGAGGGGGTCAGTTCTATGCATTCATCATGGTAGGAGACATCTGAACACTTGCTGGTAGTTAGAGGGAGCAAGAAAATCCCCCCAGTCCCATTAGCCGCTTTAGCATCCACATGGTCAACCAGATACAGTGCTGGACTGCATCAAGGAGTAGTTTGCTAATTATCTCTTGGGTATCTTCCTTCCTTCTCTACAGATATATTTGGGTCCACCTGAGGATAGCCAAGTACCTCCAGTGCCTCCACCTCGAGTGACAGCAAGAAGGCACAAACCAATCACAATCTCGAAGCGTTTGCTGAGAGAGAAGACAGTGTTCTACACTTCTTCCCTTGAGGAAAGTGAAGGTCAGTGGTTAGTACGACAGCTACATACAAAGAAAATACTGGAGGACAGAAATGGGGGTGTGACTATTTCCCCCATGCAATGATAGACCTTTCATAGGTCTTTGGCTTACAAGCAGTCAGAAGAAGCAAGGCTTATAGTTTGTATTCTAAGAGGAAATTAGATTACTGGAAGTGGATGAGGTAGGGGTGAATCCTGCACGATCCCTTGCAAGGCTAGCAGCAAATCCAAGTTATTCATAGGTATGTTACTCTAGTTCATTGAAATATGTGTACAAGATTCTTGCTAATGTTTTGAGAATGTAATTTAAATGCAGCTACCATGGGTTGAATAATGGCCATCCTTGTTCCAAGTAATTTGAAAGAGGCCAAATGAAATTAAGCCACATGCCCCTGCCCTCATGGAGCTTATAGGACAGAAGAAGATATGAAACAATGAGCATCATCCAATGGGATGATTCTTCCTGAGGAGACCGCACCTGTCCTAAGTGGGCCTTAGCCCCTGCCACTCCTCTAACTACTTTTATCTCCTCATGACCAAACCAAGCACTGCACTGTTCTTGTGAACTGGTGAGCTACATGTGACAGGTAACCCCTCTCTCTTTGTGGGGCACTGGACTTGGCTTTCAGGACACTAAACTTGGTCCCTCTCTTTTCATTCACCTCATCCCCCCCTACTGCTTTTCTCTTTCTAATTTTGATATTTGAAGACTCTGAAGGTCTTAACCCCCTTTCCCATGCTCTTTTTGTACACCACCTGTCTAAGTTTCTTGCGTGTAAAAAGCGTCTAAATGCTGCAGAGGACTCCCCAGTTCGTTTAGATACAGGATTCATTCTACCCTTTTCATTCACATCTGACATTAGAAATTCAAGAGGAATGGACCATTATTTGTATTTATTTTAATGGTGGTGGCTGGAAGCTCATCCTTTGTACCATGACAGGTGATCATTCTATCTCTAAAGTCCACATCTCTTCCTCAGCCCAAAGCAACTCTTGATTTTCTATTGCTTCTGAACCTACTCCTTTCATGATGCCTCCCCTCTCAACTTCCAGCTCCAGAACACTGAGGTCAAGAGTGTTGGTCTTTCCTGGTAGCTCTTTGTCCATTCGCTCTCACATTAGGTCCATCAGCAATTCATTTGGGCTGTGGATATACATCACATATGAAATCCTTGGTTTCCCTTTGAACCACACACGCTGAGGTTGTACCATCTCTTCCCAGCTGTCTGTGCTGGCCTGCTTGAATGCCTCTAATCCATTTTCCAAAGCAGCCGGCAAATTGTCCATCCTTTCAAAAATGTGAAGCCCGTGACCTCATCCCTCTGCTCCAAACTTCTAGTGACCTCTCTTCACGTTTCGAATAAAATTGTATTTATGCTGTTTTCAGTGACCCCTGCTTATCTATCTGAACTTTCTTTATGTACTTTCTGTCCCTTTTGCTCTCTGTTCTCTAGTTTCATGACCCTTGATATTTCTTATGGGTCTCAAGTTTACATTGCCATCTCCTTGTAGAGACCTTTTCTGAGCACCCAAGTTAAACATATCTTCCTTCCTGTCCCCTTACACTGCTTTGTTTTATTCATGTCACCTGCTACTACTTGATGACATATTTAGTAGCTACTTTTCCCCTAAGAATGTTAGATCCATTTTTATCACCAGGTCTGGGACCAATCCCTGCTATATATACATTGTGTGGGTTCAGTACATGTTTATAATGTGAATGAATAGTTATATTATGAATATGAATAGAAAGGGATTATCTAGCTCAAGGGATCACTTCCATAGAGGAGGAAGAGAAAGTGGAAAATGGGAGTACTGGATGCTTGTTTTGTTGCCCCATAATTAGATTTTTATGAAATAAATTTATTTATAATGTTCCCACCAAAAAACTTATACTAACAAAACTTTTTAGAATTTTATGCCCTACACCAATAGAGAACTTGCTACATAGTAAGTGCCCAATTACTGAGTGTATTAGATGGATTAACTGGGTGTCAGTAGACCTCAGGTCTAATTTCATTTTGGTCACTAGCCTGTTGAGTAAATTGAACTGAGGTTCAATTTGCCCTGTTCTATGATGAGGGCTTTGTACCAGATCTTGAGTGATATTACAGTCTACCCATTAATGTTTGGACCGATAAATAATGCCCAGGTCATAAAATAAACCCCATTAAATTGTAAATCCCAGTAAAATGTATTTTGCACAATTACCTTATCTGAAAATATTTGCATTATCCTAAAAAGGAAATCTTCCAGTTCTTTCCCCTCCCCAGCTTCTGGCAATGACTCTCTAACCCTGGAGACTTGTTTATTCTGAAATTTTTCTATAAATGGACTCATATTCTATATAATCTTTTATGGCTAGCAAATTATTCTGGGGTGTGTACGTATATTTTCTGCTGCTATATGATATTCCAGGGTGTGACTATACCACGTCATGTTTATCCATTCCTCAGTGAATGGGCACTGAAACTGTATTTGTGTTTTATGAATAATACTGCTGTGAGTATTCAGGTTGTTGGGGGAATGTCTGACTTCAGTTGTCTTGAGTGTATTGCTGAGTATACATTTACTCTGAAGTTAGACTTTTGCAGAGCGACCAAGCTAATTTCCAAAGCACATGTGCCATTTTACTTTCTCACCAATAAAGGATGGTGCTTCAAATTTCCCTGTATTCTGGTCAGTGCTAGTTACAGTAGTCTTATCTTTTCATTCTGTGCATTTTAAGTGGGCGTGAAGCCATAATCTCATTTAATCCTCGATATTCCAGTATGAAGTAGGTACCTGAGCTTCAGAAAGTCATTTGTGGCTCAGAGAAGGAGAGTAATTTGTCCAGTTGATACCATGACCAAATTAAAAAGCAGCAATTTCCCCCTTCTATCTTATCCCAAATCCCACATGCCTACTAGATGAAACACTGTATTTCTTACAATGTGTCCCACCACCATTCTAAGGAGCAGCCAATACTGTTTGCCACTTTTCTTGACAAATGGCATCTCATTATTTGATTTTCAAATATATATTCTGCCTGTATATAATATTTTAGTAAATCCTTCCCCCACTATCATAGACCCTTTCATATGCTATATCAAATCTTTGGTCGTTCTAAGTCTGTATTATTTGTTTGACACAGGGCCTTGCTATGTGGCCTATGCTAATACTGAACTTTCAATCCTTCTGCCCCAACTTCCCAAGTGCTAGCATTAGAGGAGTGTCCACCTCTTTAACAAAGAGACTGTTTCTTGACTGGTGCTGTTGCCGTTTTGGTCATTGTCATCAGCATTCCCATATGTTCCGAAATCTCTAGTTTGTCCACTCTGATCTGCTTTTCATACTAGATGTTCTGGAAACATCTATTTGACAATGCTTCCTTTCCATCTACCAGAGGTAATGTTCATATTCCTATTCAGGTCTTACTGAAATAGCACTTAGCTAGCATAGACCCATATCTAGCTACTCACATCTTTTATCATAAATGCTCAAGACAAACTGAACTTATTTGCTTTTGAAATATATTTTTGTTTTAAAATTCTTTCATTTTTGAAATTATAATGTATTTGCATTATTCCCCTTTCCCTTCCTTTTCTTCTTTCATAGACTCCCATGACTTCCTTTTTTTATTGATTGTTGTTACATGCATACATGTCAATACATATATATATTATATACTTAGACATAACCTGCTCAGTCTGTATAATGTAATATTTTCTTACAAAGCATGATTTTTTTACTCCTTCAAGCTATTGTTTGTCTGCACAATTTTGATTCGTCTATGACTCCCACCAATTTCTCGGCCAGAGTTCAATGATTAACTCTAAATGATCAGTATAATAATTATGTATAAATGAAACCAGATCCTTAAGATTAATTGTCTAGTCAAGGTTTAAAATTTCTCATTATCTCATTACAAGAAACAGATTTCAAATAAGGTCCCTGTGTCACCTTTGCTGAATACAGCTCTCAAATGTCTTCCTTTGCTGAACAGAGACAGTATGCCTAACTACTGGGCTCTAACATGAGCTTTATTTACATGTCTGTTTCATTTATTTATTTATTTTTGTGGTGCCGGGGATGAAACCAACAACTTTGTACGTCCCATACTAGTGCTCTATCACTGATTTATTAACCCCAGCCCTAAGTTTTCTATTATTAATGAAGGTGACAACGTCCATAGTGGATATTATGAATCTGGGGCATTTGTTGATTTTTTTTTTCAGAGACAGCGAATAACTTAAAGGTAGTTTTCAAAAATTTTAAATATATGTGTGTGGGCTTATTTTTCTAGAGAAAGTCTTTCTGTCTGTTATTGTGTTCTTTGAAGCTTTAACTATATTCAAAATAACTTAAAATCTTATTCTAATGGGCACAGGAAATTACAGAGCACAAAGGCTAGAGGAAGAATGTAAATTGGCTATTTGAGGATATCTTTACATGGATAGAGAAAGAAATTAAATTCTGTTAGGCTTGTTAGCTTGAAATTGGAGAAACCTTAAAAATTGCTTTTAAAAGTGCTACTTGGGATTAGTTGATGCATTTATTTAGAAAGAGTAAACTATGCAATTGATTGGGCACTCTGTCCTTTTTGAATTGCATCCTTTTGAATAAAGCAGATTGGATACTAGAGTTGATTCAGTTGTGTCGGTGAAAGTCATCCGAACATCTTAAATTGAACCTCATTTGAATGAGACCTGTGACTCCATGCGAATCGGTCAGGGTGGAGACTGTTCTTGTGGGATGTAGTCAGTCTGTACTAGAATAACAATTTTGAAAATGTGTGCAGATTTTCAGATTTAAATATGTATACATGAAGGTCATGATTAATTTTTCTTCTTTGTACCAATTTATTTTTTTCAGATGAAACCCAGCATCAAACTCCTAATGGTACAATCACTAGCAACCTGGATCCCCCCAGGCTACCGCAGCACCTCAAACTACCCATTCAGAAAAGTGGGGAAACTGACCCTGGAAGAAAGTCCCCAAATAGATCTGTTTCTGACTACCAATCGGAACCCTGCCCAGAGATGGATGTGGGGAAGTTGGTATTTAGGTTGCAGGATGGAGGGACCAAGGCTACTCCAAAGGCCACCAATGGACCTGTGCCAGGTTCTGGGACCACAAAGACCTCCTCTTTCCATATAAAGAGACCAGCTCCCAGGCCAGTGGCTCACCACAAGGAAGGTAAATGTTTAGCAATGCTATGGGAAGCAGAACTGAGCCAAGCTGCTTTTCACCATGGGAACTTTCTAGGGTTGGAGGTATCTTCCTCCCTTGCTCCTGCCCTCCTTCTCTCCCTCTTGTCACGTGTCCTCCCATGTCTTGCTTTTTTGAATTTAATTTTCAAAATTAGCTTGCCAAGTAATTAGTAGGTTTCAGTATGAGATCTTAATGCATTTTTCATTGTAGTTGATTCTTATCCCCCATTTCCCATCTCCTTGATTCCCCTTCCTTGCTGTACATTTCCACCTTCAGTATTCCCCCTTCTACTTTGTTTTATTATCTTCCCTACCTGCTCTCTTAGAGCCTCTTTTGTTTCCCAGTCACATGAGTCGCCTTCTAGTTTCCTGCCCTTTACTCGTATTGACTACCAGTTGTGCACTTTACGGGTAGAAACTAAGGTGTGTGTATGAGAGACAATGAAGAGCAGCTGTCTTTCTGGAGCCTGGGTTAACCGGCTTAAAACAATTTGTTTTCGTTTCCATCCATTTTCCTTTTGAAAATTTCATTTTTCTTTATGGACGACTAAAAGTCCTTTGTGTATAGGCAGCACCTTTTCATTATCCATTTAGCTGTTGATGGACATCGGGGCCTAGCTATCCCCAACAGAGCTACAGTGAACGTGGACGTGTGACAGTGTGGCCGGATATAGAGTCCTTTGAGTTTATGCCCAGGAGTGGTATAGCTGGGTAAAAAGAAGTTCTATTGATTTTATAGATCCCCTGACACTACTTTACATAGTGGCTTCACCAGCTTACCCTCCCACCAGTAGTATGTAAGTGTCCCTCTTTCCCCATATTGTTTTCTTCCTGTCAGCCGTTCTCACTGGGTGAGATGGGATCTCAATGTCGTTTTAATTTACATTTCTTTGATGGATAGAGATGTTGAATATTTGAAAATGCATCTGGTATTCCTTTGAGAACTATCCTCTTTTAGTCACTGTTTAGAGACACCATCACCAAGTCAACTCTTGTAAGGAAAACATTTCATTGGGGGCTGGTTTACAGTTTCAGAGGTTCAGTCCATTATCGTCAAGGCAGGGAGCATAGCACCATGCAGGCAGGCAGGGTGCTGGAGGAGTAGCTGAGAGTTCTACATCCTGATCCATAGGCAGAGAGGGAGACTGGGCCCAGCATGAGATATTTAAACCTCAAAGTCCACCCCCAGTGACACACTTCCTCCAACAAGGTCACACCTCCTCATCTTGTTAATCCTTTCTAACAGTTCCACACTTTGATGACTAAACATTCAAATATATGAGCCTATGGGGGGGGGGGACATTCATATCCAGCCACCAGTGTCTGTTCAGATGGTTGGCCCATGTTCTAATTGATAACTATTTCTTTGGTGTTTACTTTTTAGAATTTTAAAACTATTTATTGGAGATATTAATTCCTTGTATGTTGTCTAGCTGATGAAGACTTTCCCCGTTCTCTTGGCTGTTTAGTCTACTCACTTGTTATTGTTATTGTTGATAATGGTTGTGGTGGTGGTGGTGGTGGTGGTGGGTGGTGGTGGTGGTGGTGGTGGTGGTGGTGGTGGTGGTGGGTGGTGGTGGTGGTGGGTGATGGTGGTGGTGGTTTTTTGAATCCATATGGTTCCATTTGTCAATTCTTGGGCTATTTCCTGTTCTGAGATTTGTTGTCTGTAACTATATCCTTAAGTGTTTACCCTTTGTTTCATTGTTTCCAGTTTAAGATCTAGGTCTCTGATCGATTTTGAATTAATTTTTGTGCAAGCTGAGAGCTATGAAATCTAATTTCATTATTTTGCAGGAAGTTATTGAGTTTTGGTGGCAGTTTGTTGAAGGGGCAGTTTTTTCCTCCAGCACATTTTCTTGGCGCTTTAATCAGAAATTAGGTTTCCGTAGCTGTGTGGGTTTATTGCTAGCTCTTCTGTCGTGTGCCCTTGGTCTACATGTCCGTTTAGTGCCAGTAGCTTTTCCATAGTCTAATCTGAGCTCAGGTAATGTGATGTCTCCGGCTGTGTTCCTTCTGCTTCGTGTTGTTTTTACTGTGTTCTTTCATATTTCCTATAGATTTTAGGATTCTATTTTGTCTCTATGAATAATGGATCTCAACATGTAGTCCATTAAGGACTTGGGCATTAGATCCTCCTGCCTCAGCTTCCTGCACCTCCCGAATGCATGCGGCCCTGCACCTGGCCTGACATCCTTTTCAAGGGAGTGTTTCTGTTTGGTAGCACAGTGCTGGAGCACAGGTAAAAACAGCAGCATCGAGTGAGGAACTGGGGAGCAGGATAGCAGAGGAAGGCCAGCAATGGAGCTGGTGTGGGAAGTGTCCACGAAAGCCTTTCACACTTGATGAATAGCATCACAAATTTCTTTTTAGAGAGGAGAGGCAGGGAGGTATTTTAGAGTATATATGAAGGCAGAGGGAAGCTAGAGGAAAAATAAGCCCGTCCAGCTAAAGCAGAGGGAAGAAATTCTGTCGTCTGTGGCAGGCTCAGTACATGCTGACAGCGTTGTCTTTGAGCAGTTCGGTAAATGCTGTTTTGTGTGGATGCCAGCAAGATTTCCACAGAGCAATTGGCACTTTCTAATTCTCTGGTTTGATCCTCAGATGCATTTGCATGCCCATGTTATTTTCCGTGTCTGTACCTTGGGTTTTATATCTCTAAAATGGGAAAAAAGTATACCTACAAATAATTTTTTAGGATTAAAAAGAATAATAACAAACAAAATACCTGGCTCATAATCAGAAAATGAAATATGTTATTAATTTTCTCCCTCAGTCCTGTCTTCCCTCCCTACAAATTGCCTCTTATGGGAGGCAGCCAGAAAAGGCCAGACATCTATGGAGACATCTGCTTCAGTTTAGAAGTCATATATTGATCGTCACATTAACCAAGTAGAAGCTTGGGGAGCGGCAGGCACTTCTACCCCCATGGTAAACTTTGTCCTGCCTGTGGTCAAGCCAGATCTTGTCAGCTCAGCACACACAGTAACTCTTTTTTTTTTTTTTTTATTCTTTTTTTTTTTTT